AAAATAAAATATAATAAAACTGTGCCAACACAAAAATTTTGCAAATGAATTTATATAGAAAATATGGATGATATATGCCGATTGGTTGGAGTACTGAGAGAAACAATAATCAATATTATGTGTTTTGGTGTAGCGAATCCTACAATATTCTAGAAATTTAGCAGTATCGGCCTTTTTGATATGAGTAAGTACACAATATAGATCCTTGAGATTACAGTATCACTCATTAGATGTACTACATAACATAAGCAGAAATGTCTATCGATATGCAACTAGACGAGCCTTTAGATGTCTGGTAAAAAACTGAACTTAACATAGTAAATAATATATATAATAATACATAAACATATAATACATATAATAATATATGAAAGAAATAATTCAAGAAGTTGTGATATTGGACAAGTTAAATCAACATCAGTTTGGGAATACTAACGTTAAACTTGAAATGCACTTTATTCAAGTAATACCCCTTAATAAATTCTAACATTCCTTACTCGATGTGGAGCTAAAGAACTAAAATGTTTTTCTAATGTGGGTCCCTGGTCATAGAGATATTTTCGGCAATAGCAGAGCAGACGAAAGTCAGAAAGGTTGCTTCAGGACCTCATATGGAACAACTAAGTAATCTGAGCTTGTCGTGAACGTCTTGCAAATCGTTTCTGGGTTCTTTCTGTACTAAAATTTTTAATAAAAGATGGGAAGACTCAACGATATCCAGGCATTTGTATGCAATCTGGCCACTTTTTACTTAAAGGAAATTTAATATTCTCATTGAGATGCTTGAAAAAATATCAGTCTCATAGTATGTTTACCTCCAGTTCACTGCAAACTAAGGAACCAGTCTAGAGATTGAATCTCCCTTTCAATCATACCTGTCGCAGTTGTGAAGAAGACAATAAATGTGCTCCTCGTCTATTATGTTTTTGTGTCTTTTCTTGAGGATATTGCCCCTCGTCTACTATGTTTTTGTCTCCTTTCTTGAGGATATTGATCAATTATAAGACTTCCCACTAAATAGCATTCTGAGCTTCGTCAAAGGTACTAGGTGGTTTTAAACCCTGAGTTTTCCTTTATATTCGGTAGCAGGATGGGTCAATAGGCCTAAGTAGATCCCCTAGATAACGCCGGTATAACCTAACCTAATCTAGGTGTATAAAGTATTCGGAACTCAAAATTAAAAAATGCGATCGCAAGAGTTTTTGACAAAAATGTTGAACTCAGCACTGTAATCACCTAACATAGTCCCGTGTGATTTTTATCTATTCTCGAAGATGATATTATGTTTTCAAGAAAGATATGTAATATTTATAAAAGTGTGAAGCTGATCAATTGATTTTTGTTTCATTGATAATTTTATTTGATTTGTTTGACATTTTTGTATACTTTGTACATTAAGTCTTCGTCTAATTTGCTTGATCAAATTCGAGTTAGTGTCTAAAACACTTTTACTCAATAGTGTTTGTGATCATTTAGATGCTCCACTGTGATAAGGGCTCCATACAATGAAGCTTTTGGCATACTTCTCAGTACAATATTCTAATAAGTATGGAGTTTTCTAATAAAGTAGCAGTTAAGTAGTCTGATACTTAACTTTTTTTGTGTTAATGGTTAAAGAGCATTTAGAGATATATCACAAGCCAGCTTCTTGACCCTCTATATTCTTTAAGCAAGTGTGGTTTCTATTAAAAATTAAATTTTAGTATTAAACATTGTCTTCCTATTCTAATTTTACAGTATTGACTTTTATTTCATTTGTACATTAAGTGTGAACATTATAAAGCTTTATAAAGCAATATTATAAAATCTGAAAATAATTATTTTATCCGCAGTTACTAGGAGTTCTTGCTCTTGATAACCTAAATGCAAGACAACAAAGACTGACGCAAGTTTCCTTAATTGAGCTTTGACTTTTATAATGAGATAATCACTTTCATTATGACGTCTTTATGCTATCTTTGAAATTATGATGCTGTTATTATTGTCTTCACTAACTTAAAGTTAAGTGGACCTATAATCTATAGTGCCGGGGTGAGATACTCAAAAAAAGCAATAAAATTTTTTTTTGTTTTTATAATTAATTAAGTAAATTGTTAAGTAAATATTTATATTATTCTCAGAATTTTTTTTTGAAAACAATTTTGTTTTTAAGTTAACAAATTACTTAAAAAGAATTACTTATAATTTATATTATTAATTTATGGATTTAACGAAAAATATATAATATGTTAAGTATTTATTGCATGGACTTTATGAAATATGTATTGGTATATTAATTGACATGGTTTTTATATTTTTTGATTAATTTAATATTAATTGATTAATATTATTTTAACAGGTTTTTTCATATAGAGTTTTGCTAAAACCGAATTTAAAAATTGCAAAAGGGTCTATTTTTTAGAACATTAAAAATTGAAGGAATGCGTCTTGACTACATCAAAAGAAAGAACATCGATAGTAATATTAATGTTTTGAACAGATTAATAAGAAAATTCTTGGCTGTGAAGTTCAGATAAGTCCGAAAATATAAGAAAACTAAGCGCTGAAATTACTCTAATTACCTTCTACAGTCTGGTGTGTCTAAGACCATATATATTTCCCTCACACTAGAAGACGAAAATGCCTTTAATTGAGAAATTCCTAATATCAGAGGGAAAAATAATTTCTCACCTTATAGTAATCCTTCTAATTGGAAGTGAAACTGAGTAGTCATAAAAAAGGCGACTAGATGTCTCATTTCTTATCTATTAGATACCTCACTCTTTCACTTCAGGCAAGCACCATTTTGTTAAAATGGCGGCATAAATTTTAGTTTGTTGTGAGGTAACTCTACGAAAGCCTAAAGTTGATCATACAACTAAACTTAAATTTCTGATCAATGCTATGCGTAAGATTATTTTATAAAAAAGTGACTTAAATTTTTTGACTCATGTTATTATATATGTTCCATCTATGTATAGTATTGATTATTAATTATTTTTTGTAAATCTTTTTGTATTAATTATTAATATGATTTATATTTCTAAGATACCGCGATTTGCTTAAATTAATAATATAACTGCAAGAAACTTCTCGCCAATATGCGTTCGATTCCTGCAATATAGGTACTACGCTATACTTGGGCCAAATCATTACCTAAGTGAATATAAATATGAATCAAAATCCAAGCAAACCGAAAGATTATCTTTAGTCGAATAGTCGTGATAACCAATTGTCAACATTTTAAAAACTGTTTGAAATAATACTGTCAGTAAAAATGTGAACAAGATTGGGCGAGCTCGTTAGCAAGTTTGGATCCAAGCGAACTCATAGAACTCTTGACTGATGTTACAAAATAATTAACAAAATTGTAATCATCTTTGACAGCAAAAGTTATTGTACAATACCATTTCTTGATATAGCACAGCCGCTTCATCGATTTTGGTGGGACGACAGTTTTATATAAGATAAGGGTCTCGGTTTTTACTCTATAGTATTTACTAATGTGAGCAAATTTTAACAATCTATACTTTCTTGTTCAGTAAAGAAATTAACCGACTTCTCTTTAATTCATGAATACATGAGTTCAACTAGAAAATTTTTTAAGAAACTATTTTATACGGCCTGTTTACAGTTGACATGCCTCTCTCAAATTTCGTAACTGTAGTGATGTAAACTGATGTTGATAAATGAATCTGTTTAAAGCTCTTCAGCACCAGCAGTCGAAGCTTAACCAGATGATTGAAATCTGGTTTTACCACTGGAAAATAAAAGGAAATACTCAAAAATTATTGTAAATAACTTTTACATTAAAGAGGATGTTTCATTTAACGTTTAAGCCGACTCGACAAGATATCCCATATTGCATTCTAATTTTAGACGATCATGCAAAAATTGCATAAAGACAGTGTGACAAGTTCATATAAAATGAAACGATTTCATCCTTACAATAAATAATAAGTTCTCTATAGATCAATGGTATATTATGGGGCACTATAAACAATTCTAATATTCTTGTTGTTCTATGTTACCAGTCAAAAGCACTGTGAAGATTAATAGTCTTCATAAAAATATTCATAAAGGTGTTCAACATTGCTTTGGAAAGACCAAATAGGCAATTCTAACCACAGATATATTAATAGGCTCTACAATCACAACAACTGCTTAATATTAAACCTAAGAGAAAAGAGCTTATTTTTTTAACTACAAATCATACCCATTCGTTTTTTTTTTTATTTTAAATTAGAGAAGTATAGATTATATGATTCACTACACACAGATTATATATTGAATTACCTATGTAAAAACAGATGTTTATCAAATAATAAAAAAAAGTAAAGTTTTACATTACAGTCAAATGAGATAATCTCTTTTACATTTGTCTGACTTCTCTGGAAAAAACTCTCTGCTGTTTTCAATTAAAACAGTTCATTACATTACATTACAAGTTTGTATCATTTTTAAATAATTCTTGTGGGTCTTTTTTTCTAATGTGCCTTCTAGAACTGTAAATATAATTGTATATGTATTGTATATTGGATTATCTATTTTGTAATACCAAAGGCAAATATAAATAAAACGTACTTATGATATATTCGATGGATTTTGCCGTTAGCTGTGATAACTAACGAAATAATAAAATTTACGACCTCATATGGTCCTAGTATAATGTCCTGGTGTAACTTACAATTCTGGATTCTTTTGAGGTAATTTTCAGCAAGTTTTCATTATATAGCTATAGGTATAGCAACAGTTCGGCCACAATTTGATGGATGTTCGGTTTTTAAACTTCATGAGTTTAAGCATTTCACACACAAATACAATCCTACAAAAAAAGTTGAGGTCACAGATTGCAAATCTAGGTGGCACAATTTATATTATTAAAACGTGAAATCACACATCCTGGAATTTCTAGTGCAACACTGTTTTGTCGCAACTACATATCTTCCACATCT